TGACCTCAAGGGCAGGGGACAAAACCAGCCCAGTCTGGGAAAATCGGACAGGCGGCAGCTGTAGTCTAAGGCTTTTCAAACCAACACATTGAGAAACGGGTCCTGTAGGCGAGAAGACTCAATGCCCTGTAGATGAAGGAAATGTGATGAACTGTACAAGAGCCAGGGAAGGGAAATTGGGAAGCTTCAGTTCTTTGTTTATTCCTCAAGGGCAGGGGACAAAACCAGCCCAGTCTGGGAAAATCGGACAGGCGGCAGCTGTAGTCTAAGGCTTTTCAAACCAACACATTGAGAAACGGGTCCTGTAGGCGAGAAGACTCAATGCCCTGTAGATGAAGGAAATGTGATGAACTGTACAAGAGCCAGGGAAGGGAAATTGGGAAGCTTCAGTTCTTTGTTTATTCCAGCTCCAGTTACATTTTATATATTGAATCAAGGATATTGACGTCTTCATTTTTCCAATTAGAGCTCAGGAAATATGCTTGAGTCTTCTCACAGATTCCCCTACAAAGCTCTAGTTTTATGTGCGAGAATCCATGGTGTCCAGCACTGTAGCCACATCTGGCTATTTGGCTGCATGAGTGTGACTAGTTGGCTTTATTTTGTATGTTACATTATTTACATTTTAGAATAATATGGTTATTTCTCTTAAGAACTGGTTGAATACCATGGTTCTAGATGGATTAAAAGGTTTGTCTGTATGGCAAGTCAGACCAGTATATAGTAGGAGGTGAATTTAAAGCTCTGTGGTTATAATGATGTAACTCCTTGTGTTGACACTTCTCTTCTGGAATGATGGTGCCCTTTTCTGGTTCAGACTCTTTAGTTTAGATTAATCTTAAATAGTTTATAAATAGTCATCCTTCTTTTGGAATAAGAGTCTCCACATAGGTTGATATAGTCTTCATAACTGCGGCAGTTAAACAAGTAGAACTTTTCAGGGCTTCCTTAAATATCAGTAGGCATGGAAAAGTCATAAAACCAAAATTAAAAATCCTCTGCTGATTATATGAAGTAATAGACTTTTAACTATCAGTGAAATACTAATGCTCAGAATAACAAGAGTGTAGACATATACTTGGTTTCTAGCTGGAGAGAGCTGATTTTACTATAGAGACAATTTTGGTGAGGTAATCTTTTATTGCATTAGCTTCTGATGGTGAAAGAGACAAGCTTTTAAGCTCTGTAGAGCTCTTCTTCAGCTCTTATTACAATAGGAAATGGCTTTGTTGCTTTAAGACCTTTGTCACCAATGCTACTCGCTACCTGTTAAAGCAGACCGGAGAAAATAATTTAATCATTTAGGGGAAAATGTTAATTTTAAACTATTTTCAGCAGTGGTTGATGACTTCATTTAAAGGGCACAGTCATCTTGAAGCTCACTTACTGTTTTAAGATCACTAAACTGCGAAAGAATCATACTTTCTGTAGTTTAACTCTGCACACCTGACAGCATTTGGGAGATAATCAGTTCTAGTGCTGTCTGTTTTGGTGTGTGTTTTGCATGCATGAATATGATGTCATTCTTATTTTGCATGCATGTTTTATTCAGCGACAGCTGAGGTACTGTTTTGATACTGAGGCTGAAGGTGTGCCTATTTCCCTCAATGTCCATACAAAGGCTGGGTTCGGGGCAGCATCTGGCAGGAGCAGGTGCCCTTTCTTTTATCCTTTTCTAGAAATTCTGCCCCTGAAAATAAGATGCAGTAATCATCGAGGCATACTTACTTGGAGTGGGAGGTAGCACACACTTTTTACCGGAACTAGGAGAGTGATAGATACTGGTAAACTGGACAGGTTCACAAGGGGTAGGAAGGGAATCTCCTTGACCAAAAGAGGGCGGTGGCATCCTTTGCTGTACTACCTGAACAGAGAGAGGGGGCATCTTAGAAGGTGTGATTCCCTGGTTCTTATTGTAGCTGAAAATGGTTCTGCTCTCCCACTCACAAATTGGCAACTGGCAGGAGTGCTATAGTAATATTACTAATTGCCTGAAAGACTACAATTTGGATGGGGGGGTGGGGAGAGGAAGGGAAGAAAGAAAAGTCTTCAGACTGGTAGGGCATTGAAAACCTTTGGCTTGTTTCATTTTTTGGGAGCCTGGACTGGGCTGGGAGGAGCACATGCGTTATATGAACCCATACCCACAAACAGGCTCCTTTTATGGGTACCAGGATTACTGTGACTGGCAGAGGAGTTCTTATGCAGAAATCTATCTAGCCAGAACACCTCTGAAGTAGATAGAAGTAGAGAGGAGTTTTTCACTGGACAGAACCCAGAGAAGTTGAGATGGTCCCTTGGAGTTCTGTAAACAATACAGAATAGATGTGAATTAAAATATACAGTGTATCAGGGTCACAGTTTTGAGGTGTTGCATTGCTAAAACAAACTTTAAAATAGTAACTGATTTCAGAAAAATCAAGTTGAGTGACCCTTTCAAGATGAACTTCAGTACATGTGTGTTTCAAAAAGGACTGTGAAGGTTATCTGCAAAGAGGATGATTGTGCTTTTGTGTGTGTGTGTGTGTGTGTGTGTGTGTGTGAGAACTGGTCTGTGTAACTTACAACTTATGCGTGGTCAAATAAAATAAATAGTATTACTGTTCTGCCTTGTCCTCCTGTGCCGGTCGTCTTCTGGTCCTAGTTCTTCTATCAACTCAAACCAAGAAGCAAAAGGTGAAGGTCCTTGCCCCACCGAAAGATTATTTTACCACATAACAGCAAGTCCTTAGTAAATGGTCCAGTCTGGCTTGGTGTATAGTCCTTGCCCCCCGAAAGATTATTTTACCACATAAGAGCAAGTCCTTAGTAAATGGTCCAGTCTGGCTTGGATCACACTTTTGGACTCTGTGATTCCAGTCCCTCCTCCATTCCCTATCTAGCTTTAGTCCCACCCTTCTCCCACACTGTTTCAATCACCCGATTGCTTTCCTTTGCCATTGTCCTCGAACAGTCTTTCTTCAGGTTCCATAGTCCCTTGAGGAATCCAGGTTTTGGTTTGTTGTTTTTATTTAAATTAGTAGTCCTGTGGCACCTTATATATTTTTGTCTCTAGAATCATGAATTTTGTGTAGGTAAAACCCACATCAGATGAATGTATAGCTACCATGGCGATTGAACTGGATAGCATTGGCACACGACTGCATGGCAGATGCTGGAAGCTGCCAGAGTATTGGGTAGGAGCAAGGCTTACTAAGCTCCTCTAGTGCACTTGAATTCATGGATACACCAGTGGTAATTTCTAAAATTCCCTTCTTTAGCCCAAGGAATCTCATAGTTTGGTGAGAACTTTTACCCATTTCCCCTGAAGACACACATCTTAGTTTTTGCTATTTCCACTCTAATTAATCTGAAGTGGGTTTTATCCACAAACTCGTGATTCTATATGTTTTTGTTTGTCTCTAAGGTGCCATAGAACTACATGTTGTTTTTAAAGTTACAGACTAACACGGTTACCCCCTGAGGGTTTTTTGTACAGTTGTGAACACCGCATCAAGACTACTTTCATAGTTCTGTGTCTTCAAAAGAAAGGGACACAAGATCTTACCAAGCTATGAGATTCCCTGGGCTAAAGAAGGGAATTTTAGAAGTTACCTCTGGTGTATCCATGAATTCAAATGCATTAGTGGAGCTTGGTAAGCCTTGCCCCTACCCAAGGCTCTGGCAGTTTCCAGTGTCTGCCATGCAGTTTGTGTGTCAGTGATATCCAATTCAACTGTCGTGGTGGCAAAGACACAAATCTCAATACGTTAATATTGCACTTTTAGCTAAACCAGGGCAATAAAATGATGCAGCTTGGTGAATAGATAAGACATGAGCTACAACCTACTTATGCCTGAAGATAACTGTGGTTTGAAGTAGTTAAAAAGGCAGTTTGAGATTTATGCCTAGAATTACTTTATGGAATATTCATTCTGAAACTGACTAGATGTCTGTCGTTTTTTACTAAACTGTATACTATGCCCTTCATTTTTTGTATTACAGTGCAGGTTGGTACAGTCAAGAAGCCAAGGAAGATTTCCTTGAAAATGCAATGTTGCACTCCTGTCTGTAAATGAATGTTTTACATGCTTGTGATTTCTTTTTTTTTTTTAAGTGTGGCACCTCAAAATGTTAAAGATAATGGACACTAAAAAACTGATTGGTAAATCCCTTCAGCCAGCAAGACCTGCACGCCACCTGTCTTCACAGCATGGTGAGTAGCATGGTTAAAATGGGTTCATATAACAGAGATTTACAGATCACTTTAAAGGACATTTGAGGTTACAGGCTAAATGTCTTGAATAGGTACCTGTTTTCAAAACTAGCTCTGAGGAATGTAGAGCCATATTGAGTCAGATGTAAGAATGGCCAAACTGGGTCAGTCCAAAGAGTACAGGCAGTCCCCGAGTTACGCGGATCCGACTCAAGTTGGATCCGTACTTATGAACCGGGCTTTTCTTGCCCCCGAGGACGCGGGTGGCGGGGCCGCCCAGACGTGCCACGGTAC